GGGGGGGGGCTGTGTGTCCATCGGGGCTGGTCCAGCTCCCTGGTGGAGCCAAGTGTGCACGGAGCCAGGGCGCCCACCGGGACGCACCGTACAGCTTCACCGACAGCCGCCGCGCCCGCTCCAGGTACAGGATGGCGAAGCTCTGGTAGTCCGTCTCCCCGACAACCACGTGCACATCTCCCTTCGCGCCTCGAGCTGGGCAGAGACGGGCAAAGCCGGCCAGAGCCGGGCCAGTGCCGTCAGCCCCACCCCCGGCCCTGCATCCCCTCCTGCTGCCTCGCCTCACCTCGGAGCAGGAAGCGGCCCGGGACCTTCGTGTCTCTGTAGAGCTGCCGAACCTGCCAGCAGATGCCATCCCTGGGAGGGGCGAAGGCACAGCAGCTCGGGCACCCGCCCTGGGCAGCCGTGCGGGACAGCAGGACAGGCCACAGAGGGGGGTGGTCGGGGCTGGGGTGGCGGTGGGGCCCGCGCAGAACTCACAGCTTCTGGAAGGTGTTGACAGCCATGGCTGCACCCTGGGGCGCCACCTTCACCGTGGTGGCCTCGGCACGGTGGCCCTGCTCCTGCAGGAAGCGACAGGAGGAGGCCACGGCCACGAGGAACCAAGTCCCTGCAAACTGGAGGCAGGGGTGTCAGGGCCTGAGGGGATGGGGCTGCCCGGCCTGACCCTCCCTACGAAGCTGGGCGAGCTGCCGCCTCCCCACCGCCCCCAGCTCCACCTGCTGAGCGGCGAAGCCAGCCTTGGGCTGGATGGCGCTGATGGGGGACGGGCGCTGGGGGGGTCTCCGAGCCCCCAGACCCAGGAAGCCAGCAGCCAGGACCAGAGTCCAGAGGAGGGCAGTCCTGGGCGGCAGCATGGCGGAGGCGGTCGGTGCCAGGTCTGAGCAACACCGAGGGCAGATGAACACGTCCTGGGTCGGAGTCCACTGTCCGGTGCTGCCCAGGAAGTCACGTCTGGTCCCCAAGCCCCAGCCTCCTGAGTTTGGCCTCACCCTGGACATCTGACCTCGACCCTGCACTTCCCCGCAGGGCCCTGGCGCCAGGCCCTGGGTCCAGAGTCCGAGGTGACCCTGGCTGGTCCAGGAGCCGCCACCCGATTCCCCGTGGCCAGTGCTCAGGCCTTTGCACATTTATCTCCGTTAAACCGCTCGCAGCTCCTGGAGGTCGGCACTGGTCTTTTCTTTTTTAAAATATATTTTTATTGATTTCAGAGAGGAAGGGAGAGGCTCCTGGAGCCAGTTGCTAGGAACCGACCACGGAGAGCGGAGAGCGGCGGAGGC